TCCATCTTTGTAGATATTCCACGGTCTCGATTGGCAAAACTCCTCCGTGTCTTTATGGCCGACACATCTGTGGATAGCGGGTTGATCATGTTAGATTCACTTAAAGCAGGACTGCTTTTCCCATCCGGATTTATCTTGGGCCGTTTACAGCCACAGGCTCCACGGCTCGTCTCTACAATGCCCAGGCGCAAATCGGGTAATCGTTGCTGATCACTCAACAGTCACAAGCCTGCAGCCAATGGAGCAGCCAAGTCGTCTTCCAATTGCAAACCGCCTCCAGACGAGCCAAAAGTTAGGCCACTGGAGCTCTGAACTGGAGCACGATTGCCTCCCTTCCTTTTAACAGCTCTGTTGGCTGCGTTCTGCACTGCAAGATACCAAATCAGTGAACCAGCAGAGGAAGTGTCTGAACGTCGATTTCCAAAGCAAAAAATATGTCATTAAGGATTTTTGGATTTTTCTGAGAGGACACACACGACACCACACACACACACACACACCACACACGCACACACACCACACACACACAACACCACACACACACACACACAACAACACACACACACACAACACACACACACACACACACACACACACACACACACACACACACACACACACACACACGACCACACACACACACACACACACACCACTACACACACCTCTTGCTCTTTATGAAGACTGCTAGCTGACTAGCTGTGTGTGATTGCCCATGGGTAACTTATTATTTAAGTCTGCCCTACTGAGGACAAAGCCGCAGGTTTGGCATGTATGCGCCGTGCTTCCACACAAGCAAAGTGTTCATTTACTTGCTCCTGTATTCCTCCATCTTCAAGTAGAATAGAAAGCATTGTTGCTGTGTTTATTAACATGAGATTCACTGACAGATTAAAATGTAATAAAGCAGTGCTGCAAGTTCAAGGGCCCGTTTTGGCTTTCCTTTCCTGTAGTGTTGTCTTATATATGTTTTTGTGCATGTAAACCAGTCTGCAAAGGCTAACATCCCAAAGTGAGGAGTTTTTTCATATTTGTTCTACCGACTTGAAACAGCGTAATGATTTCAATACATTACGGGTGCATACTAGGGCTGAACACATAAATCGTGTCATGGGCGATAACCGCATGTCGGCGATATCACATCACAGGGACATGCGATTTTATTCATTTTTTTATATTACATTTTTTATTTTTATTTTTTTACGACGTGCGATATTAAGTAGGTACATTAACTCAAAAACGTCATGTTACAATTATTTTGCTGCTTGCTACAAAAGGAAAACTCGCGCGGCTCTCATGTCAGGGGTACTTGAGTGAGTTACATGCAGGCTCTGCATGCACAGCAAATCACCAATCACAATCATTCTTGATCAGATCACAGCAGGCCCCGCCCCGCTAGTTTGCAGACCATCAAAACACCGGTAAAAAATGAGCGAGGAACTGGAGGACAATACTGGCAAGAATGAGATTTACTTCCAAAAAGAAAAGCAACATCTGCCATCTGGAACTATTTTTGATACAAAAAGGTTCTTCTCTTCTTCATTCACAGATGAACCCCCTTATTTGAGGGGAAGCAACATGCATTATCATGACATGTTAGATCATGACTTAAGGTATGATGAGTCAACCAGTTAAGATCCAGACGTCCGTGACTAAAATCCTTCATCCGGTTAAATATAGTTTTAAAAAACTGCAATATATATCGCAGGGGAAAAAAATATCGCACTGTCAGTTTTTTTCAATATCGTGCAGCCTTAGAGCATACAACATAAAACTGTGGTTAAGTTAATTATGTTTATTCTTTATTGGAAAATAGAGCGAACTCAAAAGGAGCATTACCTTCTTCCATTCGATGAAACGTTCTTTTGATTCCTGCATAACCGTGTCTACAAATTGCCTCGTCTAACTAGTGTTTTTTTAACATTATTGATGAACAAACCTTATTGAATGTGAACTGTGGTCATTAACTCCAACAGCTCTGGGCGAGCAATACTTCATGATGTGCCAGGTGAATACTATTGGAACAGTTAATAGTTAGATTCATTCCATCTCTTTCCGTTTATTGCCCTAAAGCGCTCTCCATCTCCAGACTGAGGTTTAATGGCCGCTAATGTGTCGGTCGGGTAATTAGTAGAATAGCAAAAGAGCACAGAGCTGTGAAATGATGGAAGTGCTTGGTAAAGTAGTTTCTTGTGCTCTGAACAGACTATAAAATATGTATCTTAATGGCATAGAAAGGGGTTTCAGTTCTATTTTTGGACGAACAAAGGGCCTGAGTGGCTGGTCCACAGAGCAGCAAAGTGCGCTGCTGGATCCGAGCAATTCCCCTGATTTCTCTCCACAGCAACTGTTATTTTATTCACAAATCCCAGTGCAGATAAAGACGACAAAGACGCTGAAATAGAGATTCAAGATTGCAAGATTTTGGGGAAATGATATAATTGCGATTTTTCTGACAGATATTGGAATTGGATTTGTGATATTTGTTTTTAAGCGACCCAACGGAAGTTCATTGTAAAATGCGGCCATATCTCCGGCTAGGAAGGTCGTATCAACGTGCTCCCGTCTCTAGCACCCCCGCAGACGAGCTACGAGTGAAAGAACTAAACTTACATGAAACTTCCGTTGGGTTGCTTTAAAGTCAAGCTTCAGTTTAAGATTCACCCTGTCATAGAAACATGTGATGGAGCATTACTAACGTGACTCAGATGGTTTGTTTCACCAAACCATCTAGGAAAGCTCCATTGGAAGTCATTTGGAAAAGTATTTCAAAAATACTTGGCAGGTGATTGGATCAATCTGTCAATCACCCACTATCATCGGCCACTTCTGATTGGTTAAGAATGACTGGTACATGTGGAGCACAGCACTTCTGATTGGTGTGGATGACTGACACACAAGAAGAAAAAACAAAAAAAACGTTTAAAAAAAACAAAACAAAATCGCAGGCTTTGCGATTTGATAATTGCATCATTTAAAATTGCGATTTCGATTTAATATCGATGAATCGTTCAGCCCTAATTCAAATGGTCTCGTTATGAGGTTATTTAGACTCATTACTACTTATCATTATCACCAGAACACGCTCAAAAAGCAGGGATATTTAGAAGCTTCATCTGAGTCAATGCATTTCGTTATTGATATTCATTTAGCTACTATCCGTGCATCTGCATGCACATCTAACCCTAATGACATTCTATTGTCGGATATTAGCATAGAAGAAAGACCTGCATCACGTCAGTTTCTGAATATCCAAAATAAGGAAATAAGAAAATGACCTAAAAATGTGTAAAATAGCAAATTGATAACCAGCACTCTTCACCTCATGCAAGCCCATGTCTTTTAAAGGTTAACATATTCATTATTGATCCTTCACAGTGATGAGCTTTGAACCAAAATATCCCTAAAAAACGATTGCATGAATGACAGTGTCAGTCTTCAGGTCAGACAGATGGTGTAGTCCCTTGGAGAGTACCATGGCAACACACTGGCTGCACAACTACCACTACACTACTTACCGTCTACATGAAACATAAATGATGACAAGAAGATGTATGCTGATACTCCTCCCTGGGTTTTACTAATGCAGGGCAAACGAGTGCTGTCTGTGTGCAGCGAGGCTTTTTGAGACAGAGCAAGCTCCAGTCATAGGCACAATTGTACGCTGGTGTGTGACTGTGACTTCTCCTTGCTTCCACGAGGCAATCAGGAAAAGAGGATTGCGGTGTGCTGAGTTGGAGCCAATACAGCTGCTACTTTCCTGCTCATTTGGGAGTGTATAGCATTCTTTCTGAATGGTATTTATGAAGGACACAAAAGGGGCATTTAGAGACAAAGGCGGTTTTGGAACTGAATGGGCCAGCTCCCTTGCACCGCCAGTGTTCTGACTCCAAGTGCTGTTTCAAGAGAGACGATATGAGGTAATTATGTAGGAGAACCTGCAGGGGGAAGAGAAAGAAGGGAGAGGAGCGGAGAAAGGGAGACAGGCCGGGGCTGGCTCAGTGTCTATAGAGAGCGAGACCACAGATAGCACCATCTGCATTCTGCACAGGCTCGGCCCGTCTGTCTGGCTCCATGCTGCCTTGAATAAAAGCTGGCGCGGAGACAGACAGCAGCAACACAAAAGTATTCAGACGTACAGTATAGTCAATCAGAAACTGGTCCTCCCACACAAATGCTGGGGTTCAAATTTCACCAAAGAATAAATTGTGAGACTGCGAGTGTTTACCCAGAGATGGGCTTTAAAGAATGACATGTCAACAGATAGCTGATGGCACTGATATAGTAATGTGAGCCAGACTATCACCAACAAACAAAGTGTCACAGGTTAGATTATATACACAGAGTTTACAGGATAATGATGGCAATTAGTGGCACCTTTTTAAATAGTTCTCATTGAGTCTTGAACATATTGTCCTCAGGGATTGTAATTTGATGTTAAGTCAGTTTCCTTGTTTCTGGTACTAACTGTTGCCTTTGTTAATGTATGGAGCTGCTCTGATGCAAGAACGTCAGACTTGATCTGATTATAAAGTCATATTTATAGAGCTTCCTACATTAGATCTTTGGCTCAACATGCATATTTTTATCAAACAAAATCATTAAAAATAAGGAGTTGACAGATTTAAAACGTCTAGAGCTCTGATGATAAGAACACCAAAGGAGGATAATATGCTAATAGGTTCAGTATACAGGACTTTGCTTTTATTGAGAATGATACAATATATTATAATCAGTATTTAGCTTCAGCTTTAATTCATTTCAGCTAAGTTTAAGTGCAGTTTTATCACAGAGTTGAATTGCTGCACTCCTGCTAATAAGAGTCCCTCAGTGTGTCGCTGGCCCCGTCAGTAAGAAGCAGTAAAGAAACCAAAAACAATCCCATGATGGGCTTCAGTGTGCATGATCCAACATGCTGCCATAGAAGCACATCCCAGTCAAAATGGCAGAGAAGCTACTTACTACTAGGATATCCAAAGAGCGGTCAAAGGGCCTCTTACCTCTCTGATCTTGTCTCGTTTCTCCTTGACGTCCGGCTCCGCAGGCTCACCATCGCTGACACCCACCACTTTTGGCATAGGGACGGGTGGCAAAGGTTTCGGCCCCGCATCCTTCTTTTTCAGTTCCTCCATTACTTTGTTTTTCTCAGTCTGGATCTCAGCCTGCAGCTCTTCACGTGACTTCCTCAGCTTCTCCTTGGCCTCTTGCAGTGCTCGCTCGTGGTCTGCCCGGATCTTGTCCCGCAGGCTCTCCTCCTCCTCCCTGTGTGGGGGGGGTAGGTCAAATGCAGAAGGTGAATTTTCTATTGTTATTATTTTTCACATTCTTTGTGCCCAAAAGCTAGATGCTAGTGTTCCCCGAGCCTTACTCTTTTTCTAATTAATTAATAATGAACTTTCAGACGAAACACTGAACCTCTGGGAAATAGATGATAGACTGTGTTGAAGATGAAAATAAGGATGTGTTTGCCGTGTGAAATAACACCTCTGCCCAGTTTGTGACACTTAAGATCTATAGAATATCAAATGTGATACCATTTTAGAGTGTTTACCAAAAAAACTGGTTTCTCATCCTCTGCAATTAACAGCTGCAGAAAACAAGACAAAATCACACCCAAAAAAAGTCTCTGAAGTCTCCACCACGCTGCAATTACATCTGCTCCAGGAAGGAGGGCAGGTGCAGAGGAACACAAGGAGAAGTCAAGCGGTGCTAGAATGAGAACATCATCTTTGGTGGTAACAAGCCCCAGGGTGCTATAACTACTCTACCCCATGAGGACATGGGTCGGTAATGAAAAACAAAAACAGCAGGATGCTGGAGCAATGGTGACAGGAGGACAATGACACGGTACTGTTCTTCTGCTGTAACTAAAGGGAGATTTAAAAATCATCTTGCATGGTGTTATGTGGGTTTACACAAATACAATCATAGCCAAACCAAACACTGTGTCAGCTGTTCTATAACCATTCATCTTTAAATTTTAAGGTCATTTCCTCTGTATTAATCCCCTTCAGGCAGCTTAGGAGTAAAACGTGTAAAAGTGTAAAACGTTTGAATGTCTTGCACGAGGCAACATACTAAACTATAAAACATTACATGAAAGGAATGGAATAGAGAAGAATGTAACAAGGGACACAAGTCAGTCCCATACGTTTTTATCAACCCGGTTGAACTGCTTAAGTTGCCATAGTTCAAATGGTTATATGACATATTAAGGATGAATATGTGCAACAGTTTGTGCCACTGTTTCCCTCACAACTCAACAGTGTTTCAATGTTTTATATGTCAGTTACAATAGATATATGAGATATCTTGAATTGAACTGCGTGCGTCACCTGACTGCAAACATGTGAGTGTGTTTATTAATCATCTTCCGTGTGATAAACACAGGAAATGTGTGAGGAACCAGCGACCTGCTGTGATCCGTGTGGACTCAGCTGCAATCCTCCACAGAGACACACAGCTCCAGGAAACAATGCTGTGTGTGTTTTACTCAGGCTGTACCCTTTGACACGCCTGCATATGTGAATCTGTCGTCTGCCAAGAGAACAGCAGTGTGGGTTGTTAGAAGTCAAAATGAAATGATATATTAAATACTTTTTTGACTAGCATTTAGACCCGATAACCAAATATGGTTTTCAGCGTGTGTAAAAATGCTTAAAAACTATGCCAGTGTATTTAAAATGTTATATTATGTTTGTTTATGGCTAACTATGGCGTCTGTGGAGCAAAAAGAGATTGTCTAAACTGCTGATTAAGTCTTATTTGTTTCTTAAGAAGTGTGCTGTTGTATCATCCTTAGGGATGGGTACCGAGAACCGGTACTAAGTCAATACCGGTACCTGATTGGACGGTATCGGTATACCGTTAAGCCGCTGGACAAACGGTGCTGCTATCGGTATATCTGTTACGTCTACTTCCTTAGTTTAACTTTAAACCATTCTGGTTGGTTGGGAACCCTCATCACGTGTGATGTATCCGGTTTGAGACCCCTCTGATTGGCCACTGTAAATGCCACTCCTCATCTCTCTCAACAGCGCTCTTATTATTGTTGAGAGACTCTCCGCAGGCATGGCGGACAGAGCGAAGCGATCCAAGGTCTGGGTGCACTTTAAAAAAATGTAGTGGCGATAGTGCAAGGTGCAATCTATGTACTCAATTAGTTGCTTGTAAAGGGGGTGACACAAGCAACTTAATGAAGCATTTTCAACCGAGACACTCATTGAATCTAAAACGGTGCTAGCGATACTGCTAGTGCTAATAGTGCTAGCGGGTATCAGCCTCGCCGTGTGTAAATGTGACCTGAGCGAAGGCTCGCAGGCAGGTTAGCTGCTGCGCACGGGTAATATGTTTTATTTACCTGGGTGCAGTCTTGCAGGCACATCGCCTTGTCTTTTTATAGTTTATTAACACCAAATTATTGAAAAGTATCGATAAGAGTATCGAAAAATACCGATACCGATAAGCAGTACAGGTACCGGTATCGATAAAATCCTAACGATACCCATCCATAAATTCATCCTGCTCTTAGCCCTTGTGGATTTTGGTTTGTATTTAAACTTTTATTTTCCTGTGTTTTACATGCACTCGCGCACATCCATACATTGTCTAACGTTAAAGCTGATCAGGAAAAAGGTGGAGCAGATGTCTTTATTGGTAGCTCTGGTATGATGAGACTATAATGCTGCAAGCTGCAGCCAACTTTATTAGAGCCCACCTTTTAAGTGTTTCAGGCGGGGAGGGCGTTTGGTGGAATAACAGAGGCCCAATGCCCCATGATGATTGAAGTGAAAGTAAACGGTCATTTCATGCATGCGCACAGCTGGTGGCGTTGAGAGACTTGGCGCTTGCAACTGATTAGCTGCTTTAAGAAATGCATTACAAAACTGTAATATACAAGCAAAACATGATTATTAGGGACTTGTGACTTTGAACTATAGGCACAGGGGGGCGGATTTAGAAATTCGGTGAACACGGGTGTATACACACAAAATGGAGGAGAACAAACACACTAGCGTTCATGCGTGAGTGAGACACCAAGGTACCAAACAGAAACAAGTGGGGAAAATAACTACATATAGAGTTAATGTGGAGAGACATATAATGCAAGAAAGAGATTAATAAATTGGGTGAAAATATGGCTACGCAGGAGGAAACCTGGAAAGGGTTGATGGCGTGATCAGCATGATCAAGCATCCATTTGCCCACATTGTCGCTTTCCTAGGGGTCAGATCTAAATGGGGCGATCCTTTCCCAGCATGCTTGTATCACAGTATGTGAGCCGACCTCAAAAAAAAAAAATATTGTTGTAGGATTCATGCAAGAATTAACGAGAACACAATGTGAAAGCGGAGCCATGAGCCAACCGACTGAGGACTGTGACATTGAGTCGATGAGAAGTGAATGAGCGAGACGACCAGGAAACAGACACATGTTTCAACGACTAATTTTGTCCCTCAAACAACAGCATGTGCCATTCATTTTTATTAATTCGTATCATTCATGACTCTGAATGTGGGCCAAACAGAGACCAAAATAAAACAGCTTCCGAGTTATGCAACATCGCCCTGGAAACATACTCATAAATATTCATAATCCCAACTCAGCCTGTCTGACTTTATTGATGGAACAACACATATTTTGCAAACACCAAAGCGGCAATTAATGTGTGTATACTAGTGCCAACGAATGCATGCGGAGGGATGGTTTCCATATGCTGTATTTACTTTGTTGGGGATTCTAGTTAACGTGTAATACGTGCGGTGTATTGAACATCCCAAGTCGTGCAGATACAGCTTCTGTGGGTCGTGTGTCTGATATGTCTTTTTATTCTGAGCTTAAAAAAAAAGGTCTGTGCACGCATTCTATCTAGAGTGTCGGTGAGTGATAAGATGAGTGCAATGTTGCAGGTTGCCGTTTGTGTTCTGGTGTCTCTTCTTTCTGATGATGGTGCTGTCTTTACACCAGGGAGGGTTTCACGCCTCCTCTGTAATGCCATCTCTGTAGCATCTGTGAGTGAGTGTTGCCCTCAGCAAAATGCGCATTTAAATGTGATATTAACACATTTGGGATGGGCGGCTGATGTTAGATGACTAGAATGCTCTGTATGCGGTGGCTTTGTTCACATGTATGTTGTGCTTCATGAGATGCAAGGGAGCATGGACAAAAGAAATGAGAAGGTTAAGCCCTGACACAATCGTCCCTAATGGCGAGCTGATTCTGCTCCATAAATGCTGTACGTAACACAAAGAAGTCAGCGCGTTTGTCAGGGAAACACAAACACCGTCGTTGCAAATAACGCAAATGTGCATGTTTCGAAATAGTGCACACAAGCAATTTGGGTGCAAATTGATTCCTACACAAACATGCAGTAGCCGTCTGCGCCCCCCTCCTCCTGTTTTAATCTCAAGTCACTCTTTTCTCTTCCTCGAGCCATTATCGTACTCACTCAAGCATCGCCAGGGATTCCCTTCGAGTCTCATACAATGTCAAACATGCAATTAAGAGCACGTCAACAGCTGCCTGACTCAATTACCTCCTCAAAGACAGCGTGAGCTGCAGCTACAGAGCAGGTGACCACGCCTCCACCTTTAGCTTGCTCACATCTTCCCACGCCCCCCACTTCCCAAGATGTGATTAAGGCAAGGAAAACCCCACCTTCCTAATTAAGGCTTCCAGTAATCCCTTCCTCCTTTTTTTCAAATCAGCCTTCCTGCCTACTGAAGGAATTTCTTCTTCAGTGGTGCCGAGAAATCTGTTGCTCAGAAAGCCATGGTAACTGGAGAGAAGCTGCAGTTGCCTTTCTGCCTGTTTTATCCCCCTTTTCCACTAAAATAGTAGAAAGGTTTAGTTTTTTTTGGACACACAGGGCTGTTGGCAGAGAAGAGCAGGCTAGATGCCAAGTATCCATGGCAACAAACAGAAACCCACACAAATATTTTTATAGAAATAGCGAATTAGCCATTAGAGTCATTTATGCAATTCATAATATTACTGGGTTATTAGGGCCTCATCTCACTTTTTTATTGATTAATCTTACAATTATTCTTTAAAAAACCAAATCATCAAATATTTAGCTGCAGTATTATACTGAAATGATATTAAAATGGTGATGACATGGATTAATTCAACCACCATGGTCATACGCAATCACTATAATCACTGGCAATTTTTTTTTTGCTTTAGTATGTGGTAAGGAATTTAATTCAGATGATTTAGAGATTGTAACAAAAGTCACTGAATGAGGACAGTCAGTGTAAGCT